GGTATAGATGGAAAATTAAAAGAGCTCCGAGGCAGACATCTGGGGCCTACCTAACATCTATTACTCCCTGCTTTCTTGCTAACAGAACTATGATTTTTTGCTCAGTAATCTACCTCTCAGAAAAGGTGACCATAATCCTATTTTAGAGGCAAATTGGGATTAGTCTAAACCAATTACGGTAATCTCATTCCTTTGCCAATGACAGGTTTAAAGGTGGCCACGTGGCCTCCTGGCAAATAAAACATGAAGGAGTCTGCTGAGGGAGTAGGGGAGGAGATCTGGAAACAGCAATCCTAATACTTAAGAAAAGACACTGGAACAGTTGATCTTTTCTCTTCCTCTGAATATTGTAAGGGCAAAAGTACTTTCGGTGATGCTCTACTCATCTTTTTGAATTCCCCTTTCTCACAGAATTTGAGCTTCTGGCATTTCCTTCACTAATTTGTCAGCTCTTTGCTGATTTTAAATGATTTTAAAAAAATCTTATCCAGTATTCTTTTATTTCAGGCAGAATAACCTAGTCTGTCATTATCAAAAATGAAAGTCTGTGTACATTTATTTTAAAATTGAACTAAGATTGATTTGTTTTGAGAATTTTTATATATAATATTTATAATCTTCTTTATAACAATTATTTTTCTATTACATAGCTAGCATCTAGCTCTGCACTGTCCAATTTGGTTGCCACTAGCCACATGTGGATATTCAAATTAAAATGAACTAAACCTAAAAATTTCTGTTCTTTAGTTGCACTAGCCACATTTCAAGTGCTCAATAGCTAATCTGACTAGTGACTACTGGCTGGACAGTGCATACATAGAATGTTTCTATCATTGAAGAAAGTTCTATTGAATAGTACACTAAAGCAGGCTCCAGCTTACACAAAATTATGCTCAGAAAACTTTATTAACTTAGATAGCATGAAAATAAATTTTAGTATAATAGCTGAATTGTCTCAAGTTTGAACTACTAAAGTCAAGATTAAGGGAAAAAAATATCACTAATTATTTGCAAATCCATGATATAATTATGTTAACCTTGTATTTAACTGTATCTCCTAATAATTTGCTGAAAGATGAAACAGAAGACAAGGGCAGTAAGAATCAACCCACCAATAGCAATTTCTACAATTTGAGCATCTAACATATAGCTCATGAGTAAAATGTAACAAGCCTGAGATGTCTGGTACTTTTTTCTTTTTCTGTTACCTGTTATACATTATTAATATTACAGTATATAACACCTATGTTAGGGCCTAAAGGTGTGCCCCCACCCCTACAAATATGGAATAATGGAATGAGTTCAGAATTGAGAGGTGAGTTTGACTTTCTCACTCCTACCCAACAGCCTGATATACAGCAGGTATTCAATTCTTTTACCCTTGTATAAAACCTCTATTCCTCTGAGATTCATACCATTCATCCAAATCACTATCTAGCTTCGCTACTATCTTGCTTAATTAATGAGGGACATTTTCCCTTATTTATTAATGAGTTTGATACCAGGTTCGCAGTCTCATTCTATACTCCGAGTTCTGATATCATCCTTAATGACTTTAACATCCACATGGAAGATTATCCCCTCCACTCACTACTCTTAAAGTTCTTTGAACTCCTTCACCTCCACGCAGGTTAAGCACGCACTCCCGTGGCCACACTCCAGATTTGTCATCATTGAGAATATTCTCACTTGTCATTCCTTAAGTTCAAATACATTCCATTCTCTGATTTCCTCACCTTCTATCTCCCTCATCCTGTTTTTCCTACTACACTGATCCTTTTATTTTTATGGGCTTTTTGAAGATAGGTCCTTACTTATCTACATGTTCTCTGGACTCCACTGTCATTCCTAGTATGAAGCCCATGGCCCAGCACTTCATTCATTCTTACCAATTTCCTTAAATTTTTCTTGATTTGTTATATTGTTTTGTTGTAATCTTGTCTTTCTCCAATCCATTCTCATCTAAAGCATGAATCTGAGGCTCTTTCAATGGTTTCTTAATACCTCAAGATAAAGATCACACTTCTTAACCTTCAGGCCTTGCACTTAATTTTCCTCTGTCTAGTGTGCTCTTGTCACTTTTTTCTATTCTGATCAGCTCTGATATGCCCTTCACATCTCTAGCTTCCTATGGGAAGAAATCCCTAAATCCATAATTAGGCCAATTCTACATAGCATCCCATCTCATTCCTTTATATCACTTATCACTCTATATTATGATTTTCTGCACCTAAGTAATTTCCAAAGAAATTATAATGTCTTTAAGGGCAGAGATTGTCTTTCCCACTCTAGCACAGTCTAATGTGCAGTAGGCATTCAATTATTATTATTTTTTTTTGACACAGAGTCTCACTCTTTTGCCCGGGCTAGAATGCCATGGCATCAGCCTAGCTCACAGCAACCTCAAACTCCTGGGCTCAAGCAATCCTTCTGCCTCAGCCTCCCAAGTAGCTAGGACTACAGACATGCGCCACCATGCCCGGCTAATTTTTTCTATGTATTTTTAGTTGTCCGATTAATTTCTTTCTATTTTTAGTAGAGACGGTGTCTCGCTCTTGCTCAGGCTGGTCTCGAACTCCTGAGCTCAAATAATCCGCCCGCCTCGGCCTCACAGAGATCAATTATTTTTTGAATAAATGAATAAACAATCCTGGTAACTTGAAAAGATTATTATAATTGACACTACATACAATTACTCCAAGACATAAGTTTAATAGAATTAAATATGATAAATAAACTACAGAGTGCGTTATAAGGTGATTTGGTAGGACAACGGAGCAAGGTAAGGAAGACTAGGAGACCCAGAGTTGTAGTGAGTGGAGAGGGTTGCAATTTTAAATACAGTATTCAGGCTAGGTCTCAATGTGAAGGTGACAGTTGAGTAAAGGTGAGACGGGAGAGTCAGCCATGCAGATATTTTGGGAGAAGAGTATATAAGACAAAGGGAATAATCAAGGCAAAAGCCCTAATGTGGGACCATGTCTGGCATGTTTAAGGAAAGAGGCTCAAGTTGCTGGTGTAGAGTGACTGAGGAAGAAAATAAGAAGAGATGAGTTCAGAGAAGTAATGAAGACCAGATTGCAGGCCTTTGTAAGGACTTTGGATTTAAGTAAAATGGGGAGCTATTGAGGAGTTTTAAATAAAGGATAATCTGATTCATTCTGCTTCCTCTATTGAGGACTGTAGGGGGCAAGAGTAGTAAAGAGAAATCCTCATAAGAGGCTATTAAATAATCTAGTGAAAGATAGTGAATCCGATTAGAGTGACGCAGTGAAGGTAGTAGTAAGAAGTGTCTATGACCTATTTTGAAGGCAAAACCAACGGAATTTTCTGAGGAACTGGATGTGGGCTATCAGATATAAAAAGGACTCAAGAAAGATTCTGGGATTTTTTGGCCTAAGCCAAATAGAGTTGACATCTGAGATGAGAGAAACTTCTGGAGGTACAGGTTGTGGAAATATTTGGGAGATAACATTTGGACATGTTAAATATTAGACGTCTATTAAAAGTCTATTCAAGTAGTAAAACATGGACCTACAATCCATGAAAGAAGAATCCATGGGCTTAAGATATAAATTTAGGGGTAAAATGACAAATAAATGGCATCAAAAGCAAGGAAACTAGATGGGATCACCAAGGAAACGAGTATTGGTAGAGCAGAGAGGACGGCCAATAACTAATCCCTGGGTAATATTAAGAAATCAGAGTAAACAATAGAAACCATCAAAGGAGAAAAAGGAGTAAGCAGTAATGTAAAAGAAAAACCAAAAGGGTTGTAGTGTCCTGGAAACATACTGAAAGTCAAATAAGATGAAGATTCAGAATTGAATACTAGATCTAGCAACATGGAAATCATCTGTGACTTGGCAACAGTATTTCAATAGAATGATGGAAAGAAAAACCTGACGAGCAATTTTAGAAAAAATAAACAGAGAGGAACTGGATTCAGTAAGTATAGACAAGTCTTTTGAGAAATTTTGTTTCAAAGGGGAGCAAAGAAATGGGAAAATAACTGGCATGACTTTCTGGTTTGTTTGTTTTTAGACAGGAATATGTTTATATGCTTAAAAATCCAGAAGAGAAGATACTGGAACAATCATGTGCATATTTATGAAATCAGCAAGAATTAAGACAAGAGTAAAGTTGGAGAGCATGAAAGTGAGGGATAATGGGTTAACAGTCTAACGACATGAATTAAAAGCTGCAGTTTTGGGGGGCAAGGGCAACATACATAACCTAAACATCTGTACCCCCATAATATGCTGAAATAAAAAAAAAGAAAAAAGAAAAAAAAGCTGCAGTTTTTAGATAGGAGGGAGGAAAAATGATCTGGAAAGAGTAATAAGAGATAAAGATAGTCAATCCACTTTCTAGGCCTAGTCATTCAAGGATGAGGGGAGAAAACAGAAGCCCTCAGTTTGGAAACTATAAAGGAAGGAGTATCTTCAGAGGAGAGCCAGTTTCCATTAGAGCAAAAAGGTGAAGGGAAGAATCCGAGAAGTCCAGGTATGAGGGGGTTTGAATCCCTGAGAGTATAAAAGAACAGTTTCAGTTGCTGGGCAGGGATAGAAAAAAGAACAGAAGAGATACACAGAGTCTTACTGATTGGGTGGCAAGAGATGAGGGATGATGTGGGAGTCTGGGGCTTCTTGCAGTGACAGACATAAAATGGGATAAAGGGCATAAGATTTAATTCTGTGGAATCAAGAAAGATAGTGGTGGTGAAGTTGTGAGTGTTGTGGGGCAGGGCAGTTCAGGGGGTGTGTACTTCTGTCTTGGTATCTGTTGGGGAAGAACATAATTCCTCCTAGTGCTGGAGCTTTCCTCTTGACCCATGTTGATTGAAATGATGGAGGAAAGGCCAGCTCCATTCATTATTAACAATTTAGAAAATTCTTGTGACCCTCACACACATGGATTTCTGATCGAATAGCTTGCTATGTAAAAATTTCCCCACTTTTGTAAGCTAATTTTTCATGGCAGAGTTTGGTTTTACTTACATCTGTGTTACAGGAGCGATACCGTTTCCTTTCCCCAAGGCAATATTTTCCACCTCCTGAAGGTCTGAAAAAACATTTTGTTTAACATGTGAATATAACATATCTATCCAAACAAAGAGTATATATATTACTTGATGAAAACATATTAAAGTTTACTTTAAAAAAATATGAAATTTGACATTTTATTAATTATTAAAATAATCATATTGGTGATTGATAGCAATAATTATTATGGCTGTTGAACATAAAAATTAAAGAAATTTACTATGAGTAATTTAGAAGACTATTAATTGTCATGATTTACATTCTCAAGAAAATGAATCAATGTATTTTCTATCATTCTACTCAGTTCAACATGTTTAAAAATCAGTTATTTATAATGAAAAGCCATAAATCATATTCAATAAATATATAATCTGATGCTATCTGTTACCAAGTAAGAAATGGAAAGGTTTTTTTTTTTTCCATACAGGAAACAAGGAGAGGATACTAAATAACTCTCTGGAAACAGCTTCAGTTCAAAGTAAATAATGCAAAAATAAATTTCTATCTCATTTCAAATATTACATAAAGTTTAAAAATTAAATCTAAAAATCAGATGGCTTTGCATTATATAGATTCATTATATTACACTCAAATTAACAAAAAAGTGGGATGCCAAGTATTTGATTTACATAAGTAAATTTTTTAAGTAGTTAATATGAGGGAAAGCCATATGCTATTATTCAAGCATACTATCATCAAATGGAAGAAAACTAATTTCTTCCTTTAAAAGTGGTCATTCTTTTAAGTATCTGGGTATATTATTTATCAAAGGGCTTTATGCTTTTGTTTACTAATTTTAAAGTATACCTCCAGATGAACTTAGGTTAATTATTCTGCATGTTATTTTAAAAAGATCAATTCTAAGTTACAATTTTGGCTCACTTGTATCAAAGGGATAATTGAAGCTACATTTTGAATATATTTTGAATGCCAGTGAATACTCTAAGCAAGGAAAGGAAATAGCTCAGCTTGAACCAGCTTGAGAGAAATGGGTTGGTCAGACAAAAAACAAGGTAGTAGAGATGGTGGTAGCGTGAGTGGTTTATGAATGGGTAACAGGAAGCTCTGTTTAGCAGGGGGGTAATATTAAATAATTGATAGATAGTGGGAGAACGGAAACACAGAACTAATATAAAAGGAAACAATTTCAAGCTAAAAAAGAGTAAAGGAGACATTTGGTGAGAAGAACCAAAGAGGGGGTCCTGAGTTAAAATGAGAAAAAATAAAAAATAAAAACAGATCATCTTTTGTCTTAGAGGGAGAAAAAAGTAGAAGTGTTATCATAACATCATTCTGCACCACATACTAACTCGGAAAGAAGGCCCTCACCCTGAGTTCTAGACGAGAATGGGTACTTGACATGCAGCAGGGAAGGAGCAGTTTAGTCTCAAGGAGGACAGGAAAGTATAACTAGAGGAACCGTCCACCTGTAATGGGCCTTGGCATTGTGGAGGGAGAAGCAGTAGAGCTAGCGAAGAATACTGATGGGGCTGGCCTTGTGCCAGGGGGACTCTGGCTGGAGAAAAGAGTGGTGGGAGAGGAGCAGTCTGACCTGCATAAAACAGTCATGGAGAGAAAAGTGGTGGCAGTTCTGGAAGATGATTAATGGGGGCATGTGAACGGAAACTATTTTAACACATGGGCAGTACTCTTTTCATTGTGATTTGTGATGCGAATCAAGGCATTTCAACCCTTGAAGTGCTCTCATTGGTCCTTTTAATACTAATGTAGCAGTAATAATTTTATGTGACATGTGAAAAGACCTTAGGTTTCCTGGGAATCATGGTAATGTAGCTAAGACCAGATCTGGATTCATCCATAATTCAGTAGTTTTTGGAGGAGGAAATCTATCTGATTATTATTAGATTAAAAGTCTGGCTTTATCTGGGACAGATACACAATACTTGTCTATTTTTTTAATTTTATTTTTAGTTACACAATAAGGGGAAAGGAAGAAAAAGGAAAGTCTGTCTAACAAAGCTTCTCCACTTTCCTGTGCCTCCTGCTTGTTCTGAAGACAAGCACTTGGCTCACTAGCGAAACGTTTTTACAGATAACATGTGAAACCACAGCTTTGAATCATTTCCAACTGTGTCTTTTTGTTGGCTCAGGCTTACTTTAGCTACTTACGCTGGACTGTCACAGTGTCTTAAGGATGAGGAGACGCCTCCTCCGCAGGTCCTGCTGCACTCTCCCCATAGTGACCAGGGACCCCAGCCCCCATCTATGCTCTGGGGCCAAGTGCCAAAAGGAACACAATCTCCCTGATAACACCACTGCAAGATTTTACAGAAAACACAGAATTAGCTTTTAGGCAGACAGAGCTATCAGGATAGAAATACATAAGGGTCAGGTAATGACCAATTATAGGCATTAGCATTCTCCCAATAGATAACAGACAGATAGTTCTTTACTGTGTTTAGACATTGGTGAAGGTGCATGTCATTTGCAAATTATCTTAGCTAGGCCGTGATTTATAAATCTCTAACATAAACCATGCGTTCTAAAAAGTCTTCCTTGTTTCGTTTTCCTTGTTTCTCCTCCTTCAGACTTTCAGTGTTTCTCATTATGGAGCTAGCTACAGACCTCAAAGTCTTTTTTAGATATTTTAATATTTTCTTTAAAAATTTTCTTTATATTCCACTATTATTAGACGCATGGAATGATAACGCAATATGGAAAGTTCTCCAGTAAGGAATTTTTATGATGGTAATTGCTCTTTCTTTAAAGAAAAAAAAAAAAGACCAGTTGAGGCTACAATAGTAAAAGAATGTGTTGTGGCATTTCATCTACATGAGCACTGCAGACATAATAAAAGTTATGCCAAGACATTAGGGACTGGGTACAAAAAAACCCTTATATACATGGACTAGCCATGTGTATGGCCCCTGCATGAACATATGTACTGGAATTCTGCTCAGCTCTACTCTCGGCAATAAACCACACATACTGCACCTAAGTAGAAAGCCAGGAATAATTTACTGAGACACAGACATCACATAATCAACTCATAACTCTAGCATGATAAATCTTATTTGCAGAATATGGCAAAATGAAAGTCTCTTTTTAAACCAAGCATTTGTAGGCTTTTATTGGTACATTTCTCTGAATTATCAAACTCTGACAAACTATATTGGATGTTATGAAAGGCATTTGTTTATATGAGTAACAATAGGGAACATGGTTATTAGAGTTGAATAAATGTTAGCAGTATTAGATTGTTAAATAAAAATTCAACCTTATATTAAAATGTAAAGGGATTATGACATGTGATGCTTAGAAAGTGATCAGTTTATTATACTAATTCTATCACCAAGCTTTGTGGGTTGGATACCGCAGAATTCTTTTACTTTTTACCTTCTTCACTGCTAACACTCTAGACCAAACTGGCAAATGGAATGGCTTCATACATGATCACTCTGTCATTACTTTTTTCTACTAGAATCTATTTTGCAGAGACCGTGTGGAGAGATCTTTTAAAAACATGTTATCACATCATGTCTTTTTTTATTTTTTCCCTTAAAAAACCTCAGTGCTTTCTTACTTCCCTAACATTGGTCAACAGTGGACTTAGTGATCTAGCCCTGCCTCCTTCTTCAGCTGTCTCTCTCTTGGACAGATTGCTCCAGAAATACACTGGATTTCTTCCTTCATACGCTAAGTTTGTTCCCTCCTTAGGGCATTTGCATTTGCTGTTCCTTCTGGTAATGCTCTTCTCTCAGTTCCTTATATGCAGTCTTCTCATCTTCCCATCTCAGGTCAAGTGTCATTTCAAAAGAGAGCTCCATCCTTTACTACCCTTATTCTGAAATGGTACCTTACCATCTTTTCCTGCCCTACTCTCCCCTCCCACCAGGATGTAATAGTTTATATTACCTCTTGTTTTAGTTCCCTCTTACCATTTACCACTAATTTTAATTACCCTGTTTATTTTTCAAATTACTTCTCTGACTCTCCTTAGACTGTAAAATCCTTGAGAGCCACATGTGGTAATTTAAATTTAAATTAATTAAAAGAAGAAATTCAGTTCCTCAGACCCCCTAGCCACATTTCAGGGGTTCCAAAGTCACATGTGACTAGCGGCTAATTTGTTGTTTTGTTTTTGTTTTTGTTTTTGAGACAAGCTTCCCTCTGTTGCCCACGCTGGAGTGCAGTGTTGCAAACCTAGCTCATTGTAACCTCGAACTGCTGGGCCCAAGCAATCCTCCTGCTTCAGCCTCCTGAGTAGCAAGTACTACAGGCACCTGCCACCACACCCAGCTAATATTTGAATTTTTTTTGTAAAGATGAAGCCTTACTATGTTGCATAGGCTGGTCTCCAACTCCTAGCTCAAGAGATCCTTCTACCTCAGCCTTTCACAGTGCTGAGATTACAGGCGTGAGAGCAGATATAGAACATTTCCATCATCATGAAATGTTTTATCGGAAACAATGAATGCCTAGGATGGTGCTTGGCACACAGTAGGCATGTAACAAAAATTTGCTGCATGAACGAACTGGAGATAATAACTGGTGAATAAAGAAAGTCAAATTTATATTTGCTTCCCTGGTAGTTGGTAAAAAATAGGCAACCAGTGAATTTTAGTAGTTGTAACAGCATAACAGATTTTTTAGAGGGGTGCTGAGCAATTACCATTTGTCTGTAAAAAATTAATTAAGAGGAAGTCAAAATATGGTTGGCCATAAGGAAGAACATTCTCACCCTAAGTCTGATAAATATTAAAATAGGGTGTTAAGAAAGATTATGAGTTTTGGACAATGCAAATTTCCATGAAGAAAAAAAAATCGTCCGTGCAAATGATGAAGAAGAGGGAGTTGGCTAAAGCAATGATATGGTACAACTCTTGGATTGGCGCTGCTGATAATGTATTCTTGAGAGGGAGAAAATGTTCCAGCTGACAGTTTAAGACTTACCTAGTTGGTCTTGAAGATCAACAATTTTCATGATATACCAATTGTATTAGATCTTCACCTACATAAAAGCTGCAACATTGGACCAAATAATCTCGGTTTGTGTTTTCGTTAGTACAAGTAGCTGTGTGTAAGAATATTTGTGCCTACACCTACTTTTTTATGCAAATAACTGAGCAGTGTAGTCCTGGCCAGCAATTAACGGATACTTTTCATTTGCGATTAATGGGAACTGACACTTTTAGAGACACATCTTAAAATCTGCCTATTTTTTTCAAGTTGGAAGCTTAGCACTATTGGTTTCAAATAACATTAAACCTTGATTTTACATTTATTTAATATAATCACACAGTTGCGTCTAAAGCTCAAAGGAACTTTAGAATTCAGGTAGTCTAAGCACTTCATTTTTTCAGATGAGGAAACCAGGAATTGACTTGACCAAGGTTACTTACTAGTAGAAAAGGGATTATCTGTCCAAAAATACACAAATCCATGGGAAAAAAATAAATTAAAGGTGTAGGATTATATGTTTGAAGACATTAAAGAATATTCTAATATACTTTACTGGATTGCTTTTCTCACATAAAATACAAAATAACACTGGAGATTAAAAAAAAAAAAACACTCAGCTGAGGTGGGAGGATTGCTTGAGGCCAGGCACTCAGGAAGACCTTGTCTCTACAAAAACTAAAAACTAAAACAAAAAACAAACAAACAAAAAACACCCACCAAAAAAACCACTCAGCTGTACATACACGTTATTTCAGACCTCCTGAGTATACCCGTAATTTGTAGAGAAAAAATTTCAGTTTTTTCATTTTTGAGGGAATAAAAACATTGTCAGAGCCACAAGAATACTAAAAGATGTAGGTTCTAAAGTATTTAATAATATTACTACACATGTTTCTAGGATGTTCACAAAATGTAGGGCAGTGAGAGAAGTCACATAAATTGTTTTGTTTTTCTTTTAAAACTCATTCTTAAGGCAACATAAATACAATAGTCACTTTGTAAAATGCTACACAGTTCTCATCATTAATTGATGTCTACACTGAAGTAACAGCTCATAAGTGGTTTGCTAGAATACCTTTTATTGCATGTATTCATGCTTTGGTTGTATCTATTCCATGGAGCTATCGCATAATAGACAATTATATCAGAAAGTTAAATAACAAAGACTAATGGGTAAAGAATTCATAATAATCATATAAGTATTAGTCATCCAGAAGAAGTCATCCAAAAGACTAGACTTTAGTTTGATACTAGTTAACAAGTTAACAACTTTAGTCTGGGAGGGAACTTTGTTACAAACCTCAGTTCTCATTCAAGAGAACTTCCTTGGACTTCCTTTGGTCCAAAGGAAGTCACTTGCTTTGGTCCAAAGGAAGTCACTTGCTTTGGTCCAAAGGAAGTCACTTGCTTTCTTTTCCTTTGTTTTCCTAACTATAAAATGGGGACCAATTTTAGTTCTCTATTTCAGTATGGTTTGGATTAGGACAACTTTAAAAATTAGTTCAATGCATACACAATTTCAAAGAAGTTAAAAATTAATGAAACAATTTATTTAATTTTGATCTCTGGCAGAAGTATTCTTTGTGTTTTGTTTTGTTTCCCCCCTTTGTCTTTATAGAAAAGGATCTCTGGAATTCTTGTTACTTCTCTCCTTTGATAGTAGTAAATATCTTGATGTAGCATATGATTTTAAGAGAAGAAACTTATTTAACTTAAAAAAAGGGATTGAAGAAGCCCACAGGGGGTTTCATGTGGATCAAGTGATTTGAGCTCCTCTTCAAGATGACTGCATTAATCAATTTATGTAAAGATTTTAATATGTGTAAATCATGAGTAGAATAATTAGATTATACTAAATAAAACAACTTGAAGTATATAAATCCTATAAGCACATAAAGCTGAGATTTTGAGTGTTCTATCATCTATTTTTATCCTTTCTTTCATCTATAAAAGCTCTATTTCCAGAGGCATAGAATTTTGCCTTATTTCTTAAACTAGGAAAGTTAAATATGTAGATGCAAATCAGTTTCTCATCTTTACTCTCAAAGGTTATAACCAACCTAGTGATTTTGGACTATTCTAAATAATAGTCTTGTTACTTCAGCCTAAATTATGCAGATAAATTGGCTAAACTTGGCCTTCCTTTTGCTAATTTGGGTGTGTTAAACCACATTCAGAAAGGTGAAAAAAGTGAAACCATTGCATTCTAAGAATAAAATCCCATATTGTTCATTCTTGCATTTTGCATTCCTTCTAAATTAAATAAATATGTTTTAAACATTATCTAGAAAGATGGCTTATTGCAGTGAGGCTTTAAAAGCCTTCTTAAGAAACACTATTATTAAATAACCTC